ATGTTTTTTTCCTGTGCATCCTGGAGGTTTAGAGGACGACATAATGCAAACGGTATAATTTAGACATCTCTTCCCACATACATTCTTCAGTTAACGAAACATTTTCAGTCTCAGTATCTTTTTTCAAAACGAGACTTGTTCTGGAGTCTTTTAAGAAGCCCGGACGTTTAATTTAGTTCCGTCGGTACATAAAGTGACTAATTCAAGTATTACACCAGGATCAATTCTACTATTCTCAGCCAACTTGTTTTGCTCTGCGTTTTCAGGAGAAGCATAGCAAACATCATGCATTTACATAGTCGAAGACGCTCTCTTGCCATCAAGACATAAACTTCAGGAGACAATAATCGGCTGAGTCTGTTCAGAGTAGTTTGAAGTTTGAATCTATGGTCTCAGAAGTTGTTTGACCCTTCAAGGTTGTCCTTAGTATTTATGGTTATTTAAACGTTTTGTCACATGGTTCTACTCAGTTCGTTGCACTAACAGGTTAGTTATTCTTTGAGTTAACTTCCTTATTTGTGCTTCATGTCAGTACACCTAATTTTGCTCTATATTCTACACATATTAATGTACAACTTGGAGATCGAAGTAACAAGTACCCACTTGTATTGTAAATCTGAGGATCCGGCTTTAAAATGTTGTGTTAATCTTTGTTTGATGTCTTAATATATGTCATAGGTAATTACCACTAAATGTAGGTGATTATATAGATACACACCAACCATATATTTACTAGGCTGTTACATTATACATACATTTTCTTATCATGCACCTAAATTTATCACTTGAGAGCCATCAAAATTTTGATAGTATTTAAAGTAATACCAATCAAATGTTTCGTGTTTAAAATTCTATTCTAGATGAAATATGGGGCGTGTGATTTTCCATCTTTAGAGTTATATATGTGTTTAAGCACAATGTAAGTGAATATTTACAGTTGTTTATGCTTTCAAAGCATTGCCAGTTAGTCCTCCGTCTAGTCATATTGTCACGTTTTACAATTTGTACACATATATTAATAATTCTTAAGACTTTTAAGGCCTGTAAGTCCACTTGAAGTACTTAATTAACCTTACAAATTCAGATTTGTGTAGTATATGACCTGTTTATTTATTATTTATTTATTTGAACACATGAATATTGGTACAAGAGAGCGCCAATATATATGCGCCACACAAAACAATGAGAATTCGAAGAGAAATTGAAAAAAAAACTAAGGAGCGCAAAAAAAAGAGAACAATAACGAAGAGATTGGTGTAAGGTAGTGTGGTAGTAACGAGAAAACGGAAAGGTACAATCAGAAGAAATCTTTCAGGTAAGGAGACACAACCACTTTTTATGAAGAAAGTAAAAGAAGGTTACAGCAGGATCGCCACTGGCTTCTATTCTGAGCCATATCTGATAACGTCTCTAGCCACTGTGTAGCACCATCTCTCGGACCCCAACCAGGGAGTCGTGAAGGACCAACACAAGCCAGTCCTTTGCAGCTTTCTTTCATGCCACGACACCATGTCATGCACTGACCACCTCTCCGCTTCTTCCAACCAGTCCCAGAGTCGGCAAATAATGCACGACGTGGAATTCTCTGGGACGACATTCGGAGAACATGTCCAAGCCACCGAAGTCGGTGTTTCAAGATGGTGACACCAATTGATTATCATCTCTGTGCCCGAACACACGATGCCGAACCTCTGCATTACTGACATGGTGTTGCCACTGAATGTCAGCAATCCTTCGGAGACAGCGATGATCGAACACAGAGAGTCGTCTAACGTCCTCAACTCGGAGAGGCCAGGTTTCACAAGCATAGAGCAAAACTGCTCTCACCGACGCGTTGTAGATCCGACCTTTTACAGCCAGACTAACATCACGAAGGCGCCAAAGGTGGCCCAGATTGGCATAAGCCGCTCTGGCTTTCACTATTCGTGCATTGATCTCATCACTCACACCCCCACCAGCACTTATGCAGCTACCCAGATACACGAACTTCTCGACTACGTCTATCTGCTCACCATCCAGGGTGAGTACAGGATTAGAATCCTGCCAGTCTTGTAGAAGTACTTTGCACTTCGAAGGTGCAAAGCACATACCATACCTACGGACACTGATTGCCAACTGATTAAGTGCGGATTGCATGCCTTGGGCATTATCGCACAGTAAGACAATATCGTCCGCATACTCAAGGTCGAGAAGTCTTTCTCCAGGCAACAGATCCACACCACCATTACTTACATTCATCAGAGCTGTTTCCAGAATGTCATCGATGGCAAAGTTGAAGAGGAATGGTGAGATTGGGCAACCCTGCCTAACCCCACTGCTCGAATGGAACAATGGAGAGAGGTGGTTGTATGCCCTCACTCTGCCTGAGGTGTTTTTATATAGGGCTTTTAGGATGTTAATAAACTTCTCAGGCACACCCTTCTTCAATAGACAATCCCAGAGAACAGTCCTGTCCAACGAATCGAAGGCAGCCCTGATGTCAAGAAACACTACGATTGTTGGCCTTTGATAAGTATGGCGGTGTTCTAACATTTGGCGGAGGGTGAAGATATGATCAATACATCCTCGACCAGAACGAAACCCAGCCTGCTCCTCGCGAGTCAATCTTTCTCGGGTTTTGAACAACCTACGAAGAATGACGGAAGCCAATAGCTTGGACGCAATCGGAAGTAACTTATCCCCCGATAGTTGTTACAGGAACGACGTGAACCCTTTTTAAAGATAGGGACAACTATCGACACCGGGTGGCACATCGGCGATGACTGTGCCGAAAGTTAGTGCTAGCCAGAAACAGGTTGTGGTCTGTGCACAGTTGCAGTAGACGGTCCCCGTTATCTGACCTGCGACCAACGAGTCCCCGTCGGCCACCTAAACGACTCTCTTCTGTGCCTAGACGCCCGACCTGAGCATTCAAGTCTCCGGCTAGTACTACAATATCTGTCGGACGCACTTTCTGGAGAAGAACAGTTAACTAGTGGTATAACTCATCCTTGATTGCATCCGGGCTGCAATCTGTCGGAGCATAGGCGGAGATGACGAAAAGACATCGTTTCTAACGCCGATTTCTTCTCACTTTGATGGAACTTTCTAATCTAACAGCACATAACCGACTGTTAGTGGGGATCCAATTGATTAGTGCTGCCTTAGCTCTAGCGCTTAGTGCGACACCAACGCCAGCAAGACCAGACGAAGATGCCACAGGGTCCCCGGATAAGCGCACGTAGAACACTCTTTTCGAAGCGACAGATGAAGAGCGAATTTGTAGTACTTCACCAGAGTCTTGAATACGGGTCCCGGATAGACAGTAGACATCGATATGAAGACTTTCCAAAGACATAGCCAGCCCTATCTGTTATCCGACCTGCATAAGTGTGCGAACGTTGAAGGCAGCCAGTTTGAATGGTGCACGTGGTTTCAGAAAAACTGCTTCAGTACTCGTATTCGGTGGTAACATACAATTTTCAACCGGACAGTGACTCGAGAACGTTTAGATACAGTCGAATTTCCACCATAGACGAGCCACTGTATAAGTATAAAAGAGGGTGAACAATGTGGAAAATAATAATAATAATAATAATAATAATAATAATGAAAATAATAGCAATAATAATAATAGTATTAATAATGACAATAATTGTAATGATAATAATTTGAATCAATTGATTGTTTTTCGAAGCGAGAAAAGTAGTTTCCATAGACATAGAGAGTTCATCATTTGTGTGTGGGCTGTGATACTGCCCGGGTGTCCAAACCGACCTGTTTAACAGGTTATTCGTTTCCACAAATGTCACTATGGTCTGTTTAACTATTCTTTCCAATATTTTAACTACAATACTGACAAGGCTTACAGGTCGGTAGTTCCATGGAAGTTGTCTTGGTCCTGTTTTATGTATGGAAGTGACGATTACGTCCTTGCAGTCTATAGGTAACACACCTTGGCCAAGCGACATATTGAATATTACCGTCAGTGGGGCTGCGACATATTGTGAAATATGTCTCAAGATTTTGGGGTGTAGTTCATCTGGTCCCGTCGATTTTTCCATGTCTAAGGTGCCAAGAGCCTTAAGTACACTGTCTTGATCAAAGTCTTCGGTGGGCAAGTGGTTTGTTGACATTGGACAGTCATAATATTTTTAAACGTGTTCATTCTGTTGGAACTATAAACGATCTACATGGTACCAAGAAATAACATTATTAGATTAACTCCAAACCTATTACATTTACATAGGAAGTCAACATCGTAAAAACCGAAATCAGTAACAATATCCATTATCATTAAAGTTTATTAGAACTGTCGAGACAGTTCTACTGTATGGGGCAGAAACCTGGAGAACTACGAAAGCCATCATCCAGAAAATACAGGTGTTTATTAACAGTTGTCTACGCAAAATATTTCGGATCCGTTGGCCGGACACTATCAGCAACAACCTACTGTGGGAAAGAACAAACCAGATCCCAGCGGAGGAGGAAATCAGGAAGAAGCGCTGGAAGTGGATAGGACACACATTGAGGAATGCACCCAACTGCGTCACAAGACAAGCCCTCACATGGAATCCTGAAGGCCAAAGGAGAAGAGGACGACCAAAGAACACATTACACCGGGAAATGGAGATAGACATGAGAGAAATGAACAAGAATTGGATGGAACTAGAAAAAAAGGCTTAGGACAGAGTGGGTTGGAGAATGCTGGTCTGCGGCCTATGCTCTATTAGGAGTAACAGGCGAAAAAAGAAATTGACAAGTGCGTTGCTATTGCTTCAGCCTGACGACATGCGCATTTCGTGAGGGACTTGTATGTTCAATGGTCTGTGTAGCTGATTTATAGGTAGTTGTTTTGTTGATTGTAATTTAACTTTAATAATCTCGATGAAAAGCATAATACTCAAAATAGTCCACAGTTCTTGTCATTTTTAGCCAATGTAAATAACTGTTTCAATGTTTCTTACTACGATTTACATAGGTTAATTATATTCACCTTCAACGTTCTTCATATCTACAACGTTAAAATTTCAAATTCGTAACTACGTGTTTTGATTGAATTCTATGTCTGTAGTCAAGTTTACATTATCTAGTGATGACCAAGACGGTGTTCCATGCCCAGATTCTATTCCTTTGAAAGTTGATGAAATAACAAAAAGTATAGTCGGTCATCTTAAAACTCAGTGCTCAAAAATTCTCTCTGGAAGCTGGTCTGATACAAATAATTTCTGTGTTGAGCTATCGAAGTAAGCCAAGTGTAATCTTGATATATATATATATATATATATATATATATATATATATATATATATATATATATATATATCTGTTTAATTTTACCTGGCCGATTTGATGAGGAAGTAAAAATATTTGTCTAATCAAATAGTTTCCTCCAAATATAAGAATCTTTTCACAAGCGCACAAACATCTGTATATTGTAATAGTGTTGCTGTCGAGTTTTCTGAGCTAGATGGTTTAATTGTGAAGCTTTCATTGTCGTTCTGGACATTATCGGCTTCGCGATTAAACCTTTCAGCTATGAGAAGTGAACAACACTAACAGCATCCACCTGAGCCGCAAATCTTAAACATTTCAGTGTTTGCACATCCTTGATATCCGATGTTTTGGTGATGATTAAACGCTTTATTGGCATTTGTTTATTTGAACACATAAATATTGGTACAACAGGGCTCTAAATGCCCTGGTATGGCCAAGAGCGGGGTGGATTCGCCCTCCCTCTCGAAATGCTCTCACACGACCACGCGTATACAGCCTCTTCCAGGGAAGTCCTACTCACTGCCTTCTCGTGGCGCTGGACATTCGCTTTTCGTTTTCTCATTTTCGTAAACAAAACCCCCGCCACGAGAAGGCAATGAGTAGGACTTCCCTAGCAGCAGTCGAACGCGTTGACAACTTCACTTATCTTGGAAGTCTGATCACCCTAATGGGTTGGTGTCTGACGAAATCTCAGCACGGATTCGAAAAGCTCGCTTGGCTTTTGCCAACTTACGTCAGCTATGGCGAAGGCAAGATATCCGTCTATCAATAAAAGGACAAGTATACTGCGCGGCGGTCCGTTCTGTTTTACTTTACGGCAGCGAAACATGGCCATTAACAGTAGAAGATACTTGTAAGCTACTAGTATTTGACCACAGATGCCTTAGAAATATTGCTGGCATCTGCTGGGATCACCGGATAAGTAATAGTGAGGTTCGGCTCAGGGTATTAGGGAATAATGGTAAATCAGTTGATGGGGTTGTTAATCTTCATCGACTGAGATGGTTGAGCCACGTGTTACGTATGCCTGAGCACCGATTATCACGACATGCAATGCTAACCGGTGTTGGGGATGGTTGGAAGAAGGTTAGGGGCGGCCAAACCAAAATGTGGCATCAGTGCTTGAAGTCACTAACTTCTAGTTTGAGCCATGTTGGTAGATGCAGACTACTTGGTTGGGGTCCGCGTGACTATCGTAACCAATGGTTGTATACTCTTGGTGACATGGCTCAGAATCGATCACAATGGCGTCGGTGTATACACTCTCTATCTTCCCTTAAACTGCGAGATTAAAATCGTTTCATATCTTTCTTTCTACGAACTAATTCTTTCTTCCTGTACTATATCCTTATATGCAATCTTTCTTTTATATATTATCACCTCTGAATTAACTACTTTTATGAATCCGGTGTTCATCTTGTTGTGTTAATGAGGTATAGCAACTTGGACCGATGCATATATGTGCCTGGTCCTACGTTGTAGCTGACTGACCCTGGCAGAGGCTGTATACGCGTGGTCGTGTGAGAGCATTTCGAGAGGGAGGGTGAACCCACCCCGCTCTCGGCCATACCAGGGCATTTGGGAGCATGTCAGTTATTCTAACCGTTATCTTTTTATCTCTACATTTATGTTTTATGTATACTTGAAGAAGTGAAGGAAACCATTCGTTAATTTTAAAAATCCAGAATCAACCGAATGAGTGGGAATATGTTTTTAAGAAAAAACTTTAAATTGCTCAATGTAAATATGTATAGGGTAAATAGACTAATCTAACATGGATTATCCACTCGATTAGTGTTTTTTTCACTAGGTTGTATCGCCTTGCAATTCAGAAGCGATACACCTAGTGAAATGCTAAGATTAAAGTTACACAGATCAATCCAGAGAACTTTTTATTACAGGTAAATTACAATTAATATTTTCCACATGTCCAACAATCACTTCGAGGTAGAAAGATAAATTGCCTAGACTAGACACTTCTTTCTGTATCTGTCAACTCAACTGCCCCTGTGGAGCGAGTTATACTGGCAGATGTTCTAGGAATTTGTATATTCGGGCTCGTGAGCACCTCTTAGTGTGGTTAAGGAAAAGTGTATTTAAAACTGTCAACAGCTCCATTTTCGATCATTGAATTCAAACAGGACATACAGCCAACATGGAGCAATCTTTTACAATATATCGTGTTAACGGCAGTCTACTTAATTCCTTCAGATTGAGAATCCTTCAGACAGCTGAAGCAATCGCTATTGGGATAAAAAATCTGGAGCTTTGTATGTTCAGCCGCTCCTTTTACTCTAGCCAACTTCGGGCCCAACTAATTACTAATCGATTTTATGATATGGTGACGTAACTTGATTAGTGTTCATTTTTATATCCTTAGCTTATCCTATCCACACATCTTACCATTGTCATTAGTATTATTACTACACTTGCTAACCTTTTGAGAAATTTATTCAGCATCCACCCCTATCTACTATATTTGACCTAATTCATACTATTCTACATATTACGTAATTTTCGATTTGTAATTACATTATTCTCTCTCACCCCGTGTTGACCATATTTAGTCTGAACATTGATCTCACAATTTCATTTCACTAATACACTGATTCAAGTTAACAGTTCGTATTGGTCATCCCAACATTATAATGCTTGTAAATTAAGGCAATATCGAGGCAATACGCACAGTATGCAAATATGCCAAAAGAGACTGATCAATTTCAGCTCTAAACATCAACGTGAAGATTCAAGTAAAGCAATACCAAGTGAATTCACGATTTAATTTGATATGATAAAGAATTTTTGATACTTTTTTCCTTTGTTGTGACTTACTCTTAACCTATCTAGTTGACCTTTTAATTTTCATATATAAATTTTTGATTCATCTATTACAATTCTCAATGATGTACTCTGCCTTAAACCTGGCCAATTTTATGGATTATTAATTTGGATATATAATTATAGAACCTGATGAGAAACTATTGAAATGAATATTCTTCGTTCATATAATTGTGTTTTAATATAATGGGAATTTTTCAGCGATTATCATATATCGTATAACTAACTTATGGTCGTACTTTTTTGAATGTGTGTTGGAGTTTTCAGTGGTGATCTTATTTTTCTTTACAACTCACTTGTTTAAAGAGGGGGTTATTTCTGTTCTGTTGAGATTTGTGTTTCATCTTGTTGGAAGATAATCAATTCGGTTAGTTGCCAGTATTTATCAATTTAGTCAGTCCATCATAACAATCATATTTAACCTGATTTCAAAAATAGACTAATTTGTCTACTAAATAAGCTTTATGAAAATTGGCTATTCTGTGTAATTATCTATTTTAGATTATTTCGGAAATTATCATCTTCATAATTTACGGTAGCAATATAGGTAATATAATGAGAAAATAGAGTTTATTAGAAACTAAATTTCGGACTATTCGGTCACATATACACTTTCTAATTTATTTATATGTGAAATAGTAAATGTCAAATTAAACAAATAAAAAATAATTAAGTAAAACGATATAGATCACACCATTCTGAAGTATTAAATTAACATGTTCATGGTAGATTTATTGAAAGTAGAAATTGTTTGTAGACATGAATTGTTCATAATTTATTGCTCTAGTACATAACATAGTTCTAATAAAACTTCGCCTTCTGACTCCATTGTTTAGATTGATTAAAGAGACTAATTGTTCTTAATTGATGTGAAAAATGTATTGATCACTTTGTCAAATGCGTAGTTAATATAATCACATTTGTATTCCATAAAACTATTTAAAATATATTATTTTCATTTTAGGAGTTGTGGACTAAGCAATTATTTATATATTGGATATTTAAATAATGATATTATTTCTTTGGAAAATGAACCACGTAAAGTACTTATTCGAGTATATGGTGAAGTATTGAGAAGTTGTACAGACTCAATTATCTCTGATTCAGTTAATTTTGCATTACTTTCGGAAAAAAGGATTGGGCCTAAACTTCATGGTGTATTTCCCGGTGGACGAATTGAAGAATTTATTGAGGTATAATTGACCTAATTGCCTTTTGTTAGCTAAATAATGGGTTCTGTAATGCACTTCTTGGAACTTCCAGATTGATATTTCATTAGAGAAGTTGTTTAATGTTTTGCTCTGACGACGTAGGGATCGAATCATAGGTCTATGAATTATAGGAGCTTATTGTTAACTAACGATTTATAACACATTTCAGTCGTTCTTGACCCACGTGCGTAGTGACAAGGGGAGGGTAAGGCTTTCGTAAAAAAGATTTTATATTCTCCAAAGTGTGCAAAATTATTGTGTATCTCGTCCGTGATAATAAAGAGTATTATCAATAGCAAGATTTGCAGAAGTTAATGAATTCGTTCTATTTTAAGGGATTTTTATTCTTGATCATTTTACCAAATCCGTTCAATGTACAGTGTATGCTTTATCTAATAAATATTTTCGCATATAATTATTCTTTATCAATATGCTGACATTTTGATGTCATAATTTTATATAACTATAGTTTCCTCTAATCTTTTGCTGTAACTTTTTCAGTCCAGACCTTTAACTACACAAGAACTTCCACTAATTATTGAAGTAGCAGCACGGCATATGGCTTCTTTCCATAAATTATCCATGCCATTTTCAAAAACCCCATCATTCATAATAAGAATGTTTGATAAATATCTTAGTCAGTTGACAAGCACACCTGAACATTTACATCGTCCATCTCCAAATTTTTCTTCAAATACTTTATCTGAATTAGAAGCAAAAGGTTTCTCTTTTGCTAATGATGGACATATATTGACGGAACCATCTTACGAAGAAGCTAGAAATATGGTATATGAATTATCTCTCATAGAGGAATATAATTGGATAAAGTAAATATTAATTGTTTTTAAAATGTTCATCTTGTCCCGTATTATCTAAGAACATCTGAAACAAGAAACATCTAGTTGTTTAACTTTTTTCCCTGAAGTATTCAGTATAATACTCCTGAAGGTCAACGAGATATAAGATAATGGTAGCAGTAACATTCGTATTTGTTGTCCGTGTGAATGCCCTTTTAAACAGTTCACTCGGGCTTATCAAAAACTTTCTTGGGCAGCGTGTTAATGGAAAGTTAGAAAATAGTCTTATTGTTCATTAAAATCAATGAACTGTCTTCATATAGCCGATGCATATATGACACATTCATCTTGCATGAAAAAGACACGTAAATTTTTCAGCGTCATTCATCTTAAAATTAATTTTGCGTTAGAAACAAATGAAGTTGAGTATCCTCCATTTTTTGATATTTTACCATCGAGGAGAATAGATAGTAATATCAGAGGTATATTTTCCCGTATGAAAAACTCATGGGTTGGTCAACATATCTTTAGCGTCAAATAATGATGTATAATATATTGGTCTATTGAATCATTATTATCAATTTTCTATCAATCATCAAAAGTTGTTCTTAAGTAAGCAATGCCTTTTGATTCTGTGTTAAAGAATTTCTGGAATTAACTGTTTGTAAAGATGTAACGTCATGGGAAATTAAATGAATTCATTTTATCCACAAATGTTTGTTATTCTCATCGTACAAAAGTTAGTCATGGAAACCAAGTAATTGTAATCAATACACGTTGAGTAGTTATAAACTGGTTTGTTAGCAAGCTTAAATATTTATGTCAATGCTTCCAGCTTTTTTTAATAATAAGCTATGCGATTGTGAGATAGGTCATTTTCGAGGTTTAATATGTTTATATGCTACTAACTTTAATCCTGTTAGGTTGTTGGAGGCTAAGTTTCGTGCTAGCTGGCGCTTGTCGCTAAGGTATACCTGTAATCTTGAAGAAAGTGTTTCACCCTGTGGAATTTGAGCCCGCGTCAACCACTGGTCCTACGTTGTAGCTGATTGACTGGCTGACACCCACTGTTCTACCTGGGCTTCGACCTATCTTCTGTAGTACTGAAATATTTACAGTTGGTTGGTCATTTGATAGTAACCGGTATCATTTCTATCTATTCCTTTATTGGTAACCGAGTCCTATTGTTCAAGTTGCATTGTAACCACTAGTTTAATCAACTTAAAATTGCATACATTATGCTTTAGTCTTACTTGGTCTATGTTATAGTGTGATAGATTGTGTAAATATGTATGCCATTTTTCCGCAAGTTTGTTATCTCTAAAACAAGTGTTTTACCCAATGATCAGTAATGTGTTTATTTTACTTTTTTTCTCGTTGTCGTCAATTCGTGGTTATTTAGAGAAAAATTTGAAGTTCATTATGCTGAAGTATTCCCAATTGTATTTTGCCATAATGATTTCCAAGAAAGTAAGTTTATGATTTTCTTATGTTTTTAATCATCGTATGGATTGTATTTAAAAATAATGATAATAATAATGTTTTCCTACCATACCGCGTTAGACTATACACCATTTGGTGGATTTTAGTTTAGCAAATTGTTTAGTCAATTAAGTTTAGTCTGTAAATAAGTTTTAAGTCTGTGTTAAATGTGTTGTGGAAATTGGAAATGTTTTTACTTTTTCAACGTTACTATACAAACAAAGATGGATAGTGGCTAGCAGTGGAATCCAGGACACGCGTTTTGTCCTGTTTGGGACTCGTCAGCTGGATGTATCTGCACCTCAGAGTTGATGTTCACTCTGGGACTCGAACTCAGTACCGTTCGCTTCAAACACCATCGCGTTATCCACTTAGCTACTGAGTCCTGATAGCCACTTGCTTGTGCGATGGGGTGAAGTTTAATTCACTTGTTTTACTTGAATCTATCCATTGATGTTTTAGGACTGAAAGATAATATTCAATTAGTTTAGTCTTCTGATGAATTTAGTAAAGGAGTTGCAAGTCCCATGTGTGTATTAGGGATGATATTTTTAAGGATCATCTAGTCACTACAACAATTATTATATGATGACTCAGAATGACCATCTTGTACTAATCACTCACAGGTACATATCGAGGTAAAGAATAAATCAAGCCAAGACATACTTATTTATCTGTATTTGTGTGCATTCTCAACCATCGCCTACCTCGACGTGGTATGTTTGTTGATGTAGTGGTTCGTTGGGTGGGGAATCAAGCCAGAATGTGGGATCAATTAATTGTGTCATCGACTATTAGACTGAACCACGTTTGATAATTTCAAATTATCTGGTAATGGTCCACGTGCTTATCGTGACCAATCGTTGGAAATGGCTGATAAGGCTTCGGATTTGTCACAATGGTACAGATGTATTCACTCTTTATCTTCGTTTAAAACTTGAGCTTTAGATTTATCTTGTATTTTTTATTCCATAGATTCATTCTTAAATCACATTGTATATACCTAACATTTTCTACTATTACTAATACTGTTACTAGTTGTACTGCCTTGGAATGTGTCTTGATAATCTGATCTCGCTTTGTTCATGTGGTGTGGTGACAAATTGGACCGGACTCATTTATGTTCTAGGATCCACGTTACTAGTGACTAACTGACTTATCTCTTACGGAACTAGTTACCTAAATCATTCATCAAAGGATATCTGATATGTTAAAGACAGCACCTTCCAGTCTAGCTTCGTAAAGGATAACGTAGACTGACCAGATTATATATATGTATTTGACTATAACCACGTAGCTTTGGTTCATCATCCGATATTGTTTGTGAATAGAGTTTAATTTGGTGAAGTGGTGTTTTTGTGAATATTTCCGTCTCCAGGTTTGATGACTTCACTAATATTGTTTTATTTAAATTCTTTTGGTTGTATTGTATCTTCAAAACTTATTTCGACACAAGGTCAGTGTTCTTGTTCTCTTAAGTAAATCACAAGTTTTATAATTCAAGTTGGCTTATATTTTTCTTTTTGTAGAAATTTCATTGTGTAACTCTTCTTCAAGTTACTGCATTTTTGTGTATATTCGTCTGCTATCTTTATGAATTCGTTATCTGAATAAGTAATTCTCTTCCGGAAATTTTTATTTTTAACACACGATAGCTTAATTATTTTGATATGGCTTCTAAAAGAACGTCTTTTACGTGCTGATCACTAGTTAAATCAAATGGATACTTCTTTTCAGGCGTTAATTAGATAGTATTCCATATGAATAGATTTTATTCAGATTATTCCAACAGTTTGTTATTTAATCTTCAAGAATATTTTTGAATTAGTTACAATGTTTCTTTGATTGTATTAAAATTAATTATACAGACATTGCATTTTTGAATTTTAAAGCATTATGTGTCATCTTATTAAATTTCTTTGTGAAGATGGATTTCACCGTTCCTTAGGATTTAATACGTCTCACTTGCAGTATATGATGCTAAAATATATGAGTTTCTCGTGAGTTTATTCAACTCACGTTCAGGCTAAAACAATCAGGATTGACCTAGACATTGTTATTTTGGGGCTAGTGATACTGTCCAGTTGTCTAAACCAAACTTGATGAGGTAGAGTTCGAACATGCAATTTTATAGTGAGGATTTTGTTGAAATCACAAACCAATATCAATTAAACAACCACTGAATTCTAGGAAGCACTGGACATGTGTTTTGTTTTAGCGTGGAGCTCGTTAGCAGCGTGCACCCACGACCTTACCAGCGGCGATCGAACCTAGGGCGTTTGGTTTCGTATGCAAACGCTTAACCTTTAAGTCAATGGGCCGGTATCCGATGTCGTACGAGTCTAACTTCAATCGATGCACAATATTATTGAACATCTTCCGTTGTTTGCGTTGCGTACCTTATTTATGCTCCGTACAATCGAGCTCCACTGATGAGATATGTCGAATTCAGCGGCGGAAATTGTAAATAATTTGCAAATATTAAAAATAGCAACCAAAAACATCCATATTCTTCTTTCTATGAGTTGTGATTTACATGAGTTAACTACGTCATAAACACAGAACCTAAAAAAGCTAACAACACTACTGAATTTTGTTGATCAAAGTAAAACTAACAAAAACATTTAATCCAACTACGCTACTATTTTAGTGTCACGAGATTAGATGGAAAAAAGTTTATCCGAAAATTTGGCGTTAAACCATTTAGATTTATGTTTCACCATTATTATAATGTAGTTCATATATATATAATCCCTTTGTCTGTATGTGGGGTGTGTGAACAACAACTGCGTGACTTCGTAAAACATAACTTACAATACAGCTATAAATCTCATCTGAGTTAAGCTGTATTTCTTGTTATTACCGTTTATGCCTTGTGGTATTTTCTAGAAATCTTGCTTTTCTGAGAGGAATTATTTTTCTGAATCATATTTGTTATTGTTTTGACTTGCTTGTTTTTCTCGCTTCCTTCCTCTAAATGTTACATTGCAAATTTTAGTAATCTTACTGTTTTACATGCTAAAACTTCTCACATTAATAAATAGCTCATCAGTTTTTATGTTTAACATTTCATTATTTTAAATGAAAGATGTAGTACCTAAAGGTATTCATTTTTACCGAAAAGTTAACTGTAATGTGAGGGGATTCAGAAACCTAGTACGATAACACAAAACTCCTACAATAGTAGTACCGATTAGGTATTCGTGCCGCAACTGACCTTTAATTATAAATGTGTTACTGGTAGTAAATAATGCTAACTAGACTAGTGACCGTACTGCAATCTGATTGACATAAGTCAGTCTGCACTGAGGGACTGGGCGAACATGATGTTGACCACTACTATTTAGCTGTCAATTAATTGTGTCACAGTTCTACAGAAAGTTACTCGTAATTCAATTGTCTAAGTAGTAACGTCTCAGGTTGTGAAGCTGGACGACAGGAGTTCGAATCCCACTGGTTGCATCTGTCGTCTCTAAACTACAAGCACCCCTTGTTGTCGAGTACCAACTAAAACAAAACGTAGGCCGAGCAGGATTTCCTTTTGGATACTTTACAACACCTAACTGTTCATGTAATTCATTTACTACGTATATCTTTGACTACTCAGCTTTAAGAGTCACACTTTTGTGTAAAAATTCAAGTGATAATGCCCAGATCCTTAAACCCATGGTTATGCAAGGTTTGAACCTGGTACCTATAGTTTTAAAGCTGATGGTTTAAGCAATAAGCCACTTCTCTGCTGGCAGTGGCGTTTCATTTGCTAAAATGAATTTCAATAATCCTTTCACATATAAAGTGTGGAAAAAATATGGAACAGTTATTGTCAAATAAAAAATTGTGTTTTTATTCTTTCAAAGTGAAAATGCTTGATAACATGTCCCATAGAACATTGTTCCGTCTTATTTAAGTCATCGTATTCTCTAGTGAAATAATATTTGTAATTTGTTTGTCAGCTATTATTTTCTCTACAATCGTGTTTCTTATCTGACTCCTTTTTATCCGTAAAATTCTCGAAACTCATTTCATTTCGCCACAAGTTAAAGTTAATGTCTTTTTCCTCTCTCTTTATAAGCTCTTTTTACCTTCCTATCATCTAAGAAATCTAACCGCTCATAAGCATTAAATTTTGCATTGTTTTGTTCATATCAGTGATCAAACATACTTTCTTCTTTATTTGGCTTCGAAGCCCACTTTTTTTTCCGTATCGTCTAGTTGTAAATATAAGGTAGTCTAATCCAATGTAGATGAATTGAAGCACAATCCAAGTCATGTACTTAAATAAGTAAGCTCTATTCCTTCACATTAATTATCACAACTATCTTCACTCCGAGAGCGGGGTGGGTCCACCCTCCTTCTCGAAATACTCTCACACGGCCACGCGTATACAGCCTCTGCCAGGGGAGTCCTACTCACTGTCTTCTCCTGGCGGAGGTGTTGTTTACGAAAATGAGAGGACGAAAAGCGAATGTCAGGCGCTTTAACCGGATCCCAAACCAAATCAATGGTGCACATGGGCTCCAGTATCCTGAGGGAACAAATGGCATATGAACCAATTCCTTGGTCAGTGGCTACCATGGGACCGCATCTCCTTACGATGCTCCACTGCCTTGTGGGTCAGACCTTTAGGTCAAAGGCTCAGGGTGTAGCCCCCTAAGAAAACCATCTGCTTCGGTTTGGGCACCCGTGTAGTATCTCAGCCCGCACACGAAAGCATGATAAACTCGTCAGTGAGAGCAGTTTTGCTCTATGCTTGTGAAACCTTGCCTCTCCGAGTTGAGGACGTTAGACAACTCTCTGTGTTCGATCATCATTGTCTCCGAAGGATTGCTGACATCCAGTGGCAACACCATGTTAGTAATGCAGAGATTCGGCATCGTGTGTTCGGGCGCAGAGACGATAATGCAATCGGTGTCACCATCTTGAAACACCGACTTCGGTGGCTTGGAGATGTTCTACGAATGTCCTCCCAGAGAATTCCACGTCGTGCATTATTTGCCGACACTGGGACTGGTTGGAAGAAGCGGAGAGGTGGTCAGTGCATGACATGGTGTCGTGGCATGAAAGAAAGCTGCAAAGGACTGGCTTGTATTGGTTCATCACGACTCCCTGGTTGGGGTCTGAGAGATGGTGCTACACAGTGGCTAGAGACGTTATGAGATATGGCTCAGAATAGAAGCCATTGGCGATCCTGCTGTAACCTTCTTTTACTTTCATTAAAAAAATTGGTTGTATCTTCCTTAACTGAAAGACTTCTTCTGATTGTACCTTTCCGTTCCCCCATTATAAACACTATTATTATTACACAACCTTACACCAATCTCTTCCTTGTTGTCCTTTTTTTACGCTTCTTACCTTTTTTTCTTTTTCCTTCTCTTTAAATTCTCATTGTTTTGTGTGGCGCTTATATATTTAGCGCACTCTTGTACTAATATGTATGTTTTCAAATAAAAAAAACTTAAAATGTATATTGATATTGATTTAGTGATGCAACTTGAAGTTGATAAGACATTTCGATATAATCGACATCCATACGAATTATCCCATTTTTTATTTGTTACATTAGCTTTGATTTTTTTCTATTTTTTCCAGTTAAACATTATCTTCATCATTCTACATGTTTCTTTACTAATCACTTTTTTCGAAATTACTAACTATCATATTTGTGTGTGTGGAGTGAAATACTGTCGCAGAGAACTAGCTGAAGCCGGTGGTTTCTTTACCAGGATACTCTCCGAGCCCTTGATCTAGAGGTCTGATACACAAGGCTTTGAAGCAAGGTCAGAATGTGCAGTTTCCTGGTAGCTGGTAATCAAAATGGGTTCACATTTCATTCGTTCTCTTCGAATTCCGGAGCCCATAAATAATTTTATGGTTCGGAATCAGAGTTTCCAGATCCTCCATATCTACCGACCCAATTTCGGTCCTAGGATTTCTCGTCCCGTCATTTTCGTGAACAACACCCTTGCTGTGTATAGGCAGTGACAAAGACTTCATCCTCAGAAGCTATAAGCACATGGCCGTATGAGAGTATTTCTATCGGTAGAGATGAATCTCCCAATTGTCGGTCATACTAGGGCATTTGGGGGACTCTAAAGCCCTCCTTGTTCATGTTAATACAAAATTATTATTACCTTGTTTTTATTTTCTTCTGGTAGATAACCTACTTCTTTTAAATGATCCAAAAGTTGATAAGGTCTATCGTATTCTACCAATCGACTTCGAATACTCTGGTTATAATTATCGGTACGTAATTGGAAATCATAGTTATACTTTTTTTTAAATTTACATTTTCATGTTTTATTGAAATTGTTAAACTTCGAATACATTATGTTAGCCTATTATTATTATTATTATTATTATTATTATTATTATTATTATTATTATTATTACTAATAATAGTGAGCTTTTATGCCTCAAATTCTTCGTCTGTTTATCTGGAGACGTTTTCATAGTTTGACATATAATATAACATACTCAAACTAAACTATTTGTGATTAGGTTGTTCAAAGAAAACGTAGTCTTAACATACAATTTATGTCGTTCAAATTTTGTTACATCTGCTGTCGAGATTATGAAGATTTCTAACTCAGGAAGAATTTTTCAGTGAAGTTACATTCTTTGAACTGGATAGTTTAGGTGTGAAACCTTCATTGTTTTGCTAGAAAATAACATCAAGATATACTTCAAAAAGAGGTGAACTATTGAAATTTTTTCACATCTAACGGATAGTTTATTCTGTCGATATTGAATTCGTCTCTACCTACTACTTATGGATTGATCGTTTGCATCATTGTTTACAATGTTCATCTTAAGGACATGATGACTGACCAGTACGCGAATAGGGATACTATGTAATGCTCAATAAAGCTTTGATTTACAAAAAAGATTTCTTGAGTTACAAAACTTTACTTATCACCAACGTTTACCAAATTTTTGACAGCAATTCACTGATCAGGTTCGGAATAATACGTGTCACCTACCGACTGATGATCACTAAGTCTAGGTAAAGTGATTAATAAAATATATACTTCTGATTGTTTCATTCCAACAGTCCTTTTATCTGATTACAGTAAATCTATGCGCTTAAATTAACAGGATTTCAGTACAACCAAACAAAGACCGATCGTTGATACTCCAACTACCTTGTCAGTTGTCTTATGTATAATGAAGTGAAATATAATTCACTCTACTACATTACGTAGCTTTCAAGTACTTAACCAATGTTGTCTGATTTTATTACTGAGTTCATGAACTATTTTGAACCATACACATTTTTATAAATATAAGGGAATAAGTTTACCTGGCTAACTTTATAAACATTTTAGACTAAATCACCTTATATAACTTGACAACGTGATACTAAAAGTCTAATGCGAAATATCTCAGGAATCGATCTATTTCCAACTGTAACGAGCATATCAGATGTGTAAGGTCTGGATAATGCAAAAAATATTATGTGTCGAATTGTATGTTGTATGGATTGTTGTAGCAATAACATAGTGATTCATTTGATCTAGCGACTAATCATAGTGTTGTGTGGAAAAGTTATCAGTTGTCGAATAGACTTAGATCATCCACCTGTTTAATAAGTTAAGTAGACAAATGGGCCGGGTCACAAGTGTATAAAGAATGAACGTGATTAATTATCTTATCAAGTATGGAGTAATTAATATGATCAAAAGGATGCCTTTTTAGTCAAATGAAATACAATAATTTATTATCATTTCTTGATATTTATCGCTAATAATTTTGACCCAACTTTTTACGATTTTCGAAAATCAATTTTCATATCCTGATAATTGAATCGATTAGCTTATTAAATTTCTGTATGTAACGTTTATGACCTATACTTTGCTAAAGAAACTCACATGTCCTCACTATGTCCAACACTTAAAATTATATACCAATCTTAAGAAAATAAACCTCAGACATTGTGATCCGTAAGAACTTTTTGGTTAGTTCATATGTAACCAAATACTACATCATTTACATTAAACATACTTTTGAAGCAACATTTTTGATAATCTAAATTGAGGGAATCCTATTGAACATTAAATTCTTCATCTAAATGATTCTTAACCTTGTTTATTTTAGTTCTTGATTATTCCGTGATATTTCGCTCTCAGATGATCCTTTTTTATGTGTCTTTCCTTTTTTAAAGTGCTTTTGATGTTGGGAATCATTTTAATGAGTGGTGTTATGATTACACGAACCCTGATCAACCGTATTATCTTCACAACATTGAAAACTACCCAGATCGTTCAAAACAAGTTAGTTATTTTTGGTTTCCCAGTGTTGTTCAATTATTAATGTATGTTTCCTAAATTGTACTTTTTAAAAAAAGGAAAAGTAGTCCCTACCAAATATTGGCGCTCTATCTCTTCATTGGTTTATTTTATTTCTGAAACAACTAAGCGTCCCATTAGATATGTATAGAAAAATCACAATGATGTAAGCTATCTGTGAAGTGGAATGTCATTTTCCCATGGTACCTTTTTTCTATGGTTTTCAATGTTGTAAGACTTAAAAGAGTTCAAAAAACGCTACTGATGAATACAAATATGTGTGAACATTTAGACTGAGTTGTTCACCTATGCATCTGATAAATATTACTCCATTTGTTTAGATTTTTATATCGTAAACAACTAAGAGATGTCGGTATTCGATAAAATTCGATCAATACTAAAGACTACTCAATAACAATTTATCACTGCTCAGTAATCAATCGTTAAAGGTATCAGTAATTCATTTTATAGAAAACTGAAATTGAGATGGGAACTAGACAGGTATCCTCTATGGCAGTGAGTGATAATAGCGCAATATATTCAGTTTTTAGCATACTATCTAAAAAAAAACATGTACTTTGTAAAGTATGATAGTGTTGGGTTCATCGTTACGTACGGCTAAACAATATCATACTAAAACAAAACAGCTGTACAATAAATGGTTACGCGATTTTCTAGATAAATCTAGTCCATAATGTAAACCATCGTTTCAAAAAATTATTGTAGGAAACTTTCAATTAAGATGTTTTTTAGAACTTATATTCTCGCTGTGTTAACAATAAAACTAACATTGATCGGCCCATAATCTCAACAAAGATTCAACAATCTCCACAACTCTATACTCATCGCCATCATGTGTTCACTAGTGACTACCTTCAAGCGGTAATTCTCGGAGTTCTATTGAGAAGTCGTGACCAGTATAGTCCAATCGTGTCTAGTTTACGGCAGTTATCCACCGAAGAAAATTGAAAATGGTCGCACAATATAGTGGATTGATTTAAGTTAGATACTAACACCTTTGGATGCCGGCTCTGTGGTCTAATGGTTAACCGTTCACGCGTGACCGAACGTCCTGGGTACGATCCCTGCGCATTGCGGAGGAGTCCCATACTTGAACGACACGAACATCTAGTGCTCCCAGGTTTCCAGTGGTGGTCTAACATTGATCGGTTCATGATCTCAATATAAATAAACAAATACCATTGATTTTTCTAATCTGATGCATTTATTTGTTTATTTGTGCACCACTTATTGTTAAATGTAATTTATGATGTCACTTTGGATGAGTCATAACTTAAAGAATTTATTACAGTTGGAAATATTTTTCTCTATGGTATCTCGACTTGTAAAATTGTGACGGAACGTTTCTTTAGATTACTAACCCAACATCTAATGTTATTGATTTATATGTATGGTATTACTAAGTGATAAATCCGATAGAATGTAAATGTTAACACCGTGTTTATTGTTTAGGTACTACTTAATGTAGTATGTGAATAATCGGAATATGATTGATATATAGTGTATATGTAGTAGCATTCTTTCTATACTAGAATATTTATTGTATTAATAATTATAATCTCATAATAACCATGGATCAACTTTTTTTTCAACATAATCTCATTGAATAGTCCAGTACAGTTTGTATTTAGTAATAACACACAAGTCATACTGTGTGATTTAACTGATGAATTCCAAATGACTTATCATTACTTTCTTAAATAGAGTTCGTTTAGTTATTGACTAGAGTTAAACACTTTCGTATAACATTTTCGAAAAAAGTATATGCATATATTTCTGTATGATTTCATTAAATCAATTGTTTTTAAACGTATTTATATAGAGGCTTTTTTGGAAAGCATATCTAACTGAAACTTATTCAAATGTAGAAAATGATCATTTTAGTAAAAGAAATGGTAATTTCAATTGTGTTGATAATTATGAACATAATAATAATAATGTTGTTCGATTTGCTAATCATCATGAAGAGGATTGTGATTATGAAAATTTATGGATTGAAACAATCTATGGTTCATTATTATCACATTTATTTTGGTCTGCATGGTCACTTGTTCAAAGTCAATTATCAAGTATTCAGTTTGATTTTATGGTATGTATGTTTTACCATGTAAATAATGAAAGTGTATTCTCAGAAGGGGTTTGTGGAGATTTTAGAAATTTCACGGATTGAAATCATGAGACAATTGAAGCTAGACCACCATGGAAAACCTGGAAGCACTGGACGGCCGTTTCGTCCTAGTAGTACTCCTGGAGTTCTAGTGAGAAGCCGTTACCAGTGGAGTTCAACCAGGTCTGTTGTGAGATATCAGCTCACTGAAGACAATGGTGTTCGGTGGCGCAACTTCGTGGATTGGTTGAAGTTAGACATTAACACCGTTGGATGCCGGCTCAGTGGTCTAGTGGTTAAGTGCTCGCGCGCGAATCCAGTAGGTCCTGGGTTCGAATCCCGCTGGGTGCGGGATCGTGGATGCGCACTGCTGAGGCGTCCCATACTAGGACGAAATGGCCGTCCAGTAGTGATTCCAGGTTTTCCATGGTGATCTAGCTTCAATTGACTCATGATTTCAATCTGTGAAAGTGTATTCTTTGAATTTTAAGATAATTTATTTTCCTGTATATAAGAGGTAGAGATTAGTCATATCAAGAATATGAGATGGTAGATGCTGTACATTTTCAGGTGATTAGTCATTGTTACATTTGATAATTCGTGTTGAATGAAGCACACTTTATGTTAAGTATCATTGTTATATTTTTGGTGCTATGTAATGGGAATCAATCATTTGATTATTCACTGAACAACTTAGTTGTAAGTATCAGTCTGTTTTTGTGTTTAATTTTTAGCTAGTTAGCCTTCTAATTTAATGGTTTTATCAACTTGGCTCTTAAGATAGTAAGTTGTTACTCACAATTATTCAACAGTTCTGATGTGAATTGTGATTACTAGTTTAATCAAATTCTTTCAGTATCTTTTAGGAGTACGTTGTTTATGCATATGTTCATATCTGAGATAGCGCTAACTCGTAAGAATATTTATTTGGACGAGAATAATAACGGCATTGGTGAGAAAATATTTGTCGTTTGTGATATGGTTCAAAACAGTTACCTCTCTATTTCGTTAATCAAATTAGACTTCAGGTGAAATACAAAACTGTTGGCGTATTTGAACTCCGTAAACTACTTTCTTTTTGCTATATTTGGAATTTTGTCTTTGTGCCAAAATTCTTTACAGCAGCCATCTATCGGTTTTACTAAGAGCAAAGATGCTTTTTCTCTTTTGGTTCGTTATTCTCGTATTATACTAATCCTTCACCTCACTCTCATAGATATTAACTATTTTCATACAGGGATGTCTATTTCTGTAATTATATTTCTTTATTACCATACACTAAATCTTCAGGACACAATTTGTCATATGGATTACTCCGACCTTAGTGAAAAACAAATTCAATTGAACTAACTAGTTACTCACTTTAATGATAAGCCGTAACCGAAACGCTATCAGTGTACTTCAGTCACTGAGTATTTTTTTCAGCTATTGTTTAAAATGTCAACCGTTTTTATCTGATAAAACATGCTTTTTTGGTGACCAGACTTTTATCTGAATTAATTTTGACCAAGTAGATCTATTCATTTTTTTACGTCGACGATAACCAAAAGAAGCCTTGAGTTATAATCAGATTTGAAATGTTCTGTTGAGCGTTTTGGGAACTTCAAAATATATGTTGTTACATGATTTGAGACATCACATTATGGTATTGGGCAATGTAACGGTTCTCACTTGAAAAATACGTATTAAACTGTAATGCGTTATGTACGTATTATTATGCAAATTTTCCAATTCACTTTTGCAAATAGTCAATGACAAAACGGTGAACAAAACAATCTCCTCTTTGAGATAGAGGGCTTCCATACAATACATGATTATCCTTCTAATTATTGAAATATTCTAATCTGTTTTTATATTTATTGTTTCTTTTTTAGGATTATGCTAAAGTTCGTATGAAACATTATCATCTTATGAAATCTTGGTTACCACGCGAACATTTGTGAAGGAAACGCACATATCCGAATTTTTACTCATTTGTTTGTTGCTTTTTTTATCACAGGAAATAGATAACCATTTGTTTAGTATAATTTCTAGGATAAAACAAATTAATTATTCACATGATAACAATGATGATCGTAACTTTCAACTAATTTATCACTGGTTTTGTGCTTTTTGTGTACATTTGTGTTTTACTATAAGAAAAGCCTGGTTTGTTGCATATGTGTGTCTACACGTTTGCTACCGTATTACACATCACCCGGTTAGTAGTATTTCGAAAAAAAGACCACAATCTGTGATATTAATGAGCAAATTATTATTATTTTTGTTAGAACAAAGTTGATAACTTAAATCTTTATTCTTGAGTAGCGTTTTCATGCTTTTCTTACATTTAATATCCTTTATTTCTTTTCTAGTCTTCCAGTTTACACTTGTAATTATCATTTTACATTGTTAATAATATATTTTTGTCTGTTTGCTTGTTTATTATTTTGTTTCTATTTATTTCAGTTGTTTCCTTCGTATTGTTATTTACTAACAAATTCTACTATTTTTGATAGATCAACTTATTTACAGACAAATATTTCCAGTGCTTTAAAAACAACGATATATACTTTTCGATTGTTAACTTATGGATTTTCGTAATACTGAATAATTCTGTCTTCATTTGATATATATATATATATTAGAATACTTAAACTGATTTTAATCCTAAGAATCTGTAACTGACTAATTCTCCAAATTGATACAAGACACCAAACTGTTGGTTAGGTGGGTACACTTATAAAACATATCAGGTATAATAATTGATAAATCAATTGGTGTTAATATAACCGTTGTTGATGTAATCATAAGTGTAGAATCCCAATTAAAGTTACTTTACAACTCCAAAATGTTATTGTTGAGAAATCTCTCTCTCTTTCTGTTCTCTATTATGATATTCCACTGCAATCAGACTAAATTTTCCAGTATTTTTGTTCAAACAAATATTACCCATCTTTGCTTATAATGCTTGTAAATTAAGGCAATATCGAGGCATACGCACATTATGTACATATGCCAATAAGAGACTGATCAATTTCAATCCTAAAACATCAATGGAAAGTTTCAAGTTAAACAATACCAAGTGAATTAAATATTATCTATGTCTAATATTTACTGATTTGAAAAATTGTACTAGCTTGCTTACATCTGAATGGCTCATTTATAATTTTTGTGTGTTTAATTACTTACACAATTACACTTTCCCATAAAATGTAAATGACGAATTAATCAAAACTACTCTTCATCTGCTAAATGATGCAGTATAAATAGCTTTAGATATATTGGTACAAATATGTTATAAATCACCAGTTTCTTTTTCTAATTACTACCTAATAAAGTCAGTCATTAATTAATAATGTATTATATTAGTATTGACAAATAATAATTTGTTTTTTATAAGTGAACAGCATTATTACGATCGACCACTAATTTTATTAGCCTGACCATATTCTATTTTGAATCGACTTGAACGAAAGAAACATACTAATTAATTAAAATAATACATAAGTTTGCACACTGTTCTCTTCTTTACATTTATTAAAAAAATCTTTTGTTCAATATAGGATGTATTAAGTTTGGATTTTTAGAACTATCTTTGAGATGAATAGTAATCCTTAAAAAAAATGTCGTTGGAGTATATTTGAATCTTGTTTGTCGCTTTCGATAGAGTTTACACTCGATTATCAATAATCTGTTTCTTGATAATGGGATGTGTCTTCATAACTCTATAACTATGTGAGAGGTAGTTCATTTAAAAAAATATATACAGACGTGATGTTGACAACTAATAGAATAATTTACTTTTATATTATCTAAAAATTCATCTATTTTTATTTGCGTGTTTACTGCTCTGATTAGTTGCTACAGAAGCCTTTTCAACCTATATAAACAAATTTTTGCAAACTGGTTTTATAAATAATACTCACTTAATGGTAGACATCTCAAATGATTATTCATTATCAAGCTGTCACTCAGTAGTTTACATTTCCAATTCAGTTTGCTCATGATGTTGGATAACCATCCATTTTTATTGATAATACCTGTCTAATTCCTAACATAGTAAAACTACACCGACTTCATTAGAATTCCAGGAATTCTTGTAAATACATTCTACAATGATAAGAGATTATAAACCACTAAATTACGGAAATAACTTGTCATAAGTATAGTTTATCTTAATTTTATTTAGTATATTATCGTGCTTCCGATGTATGTTAGATGAAATTGACTATAACTGCTGACTTTGTGTAGACTACTAAGTATACACACATGCATTAACGTACTTTTGTACCAGGAACTTCCCGGTCGTCCACGTGATGTTCTTAATTACTCGATCTGCTAAGATTAAATTGTGGTCACAATTTAGATAAAAACAAATCTGTGGATGGCGTGAAATTCTTTGACAGTATCAATGGCGTTGAATGAATGACTAAAACTACTCTATCTGCTTACAAACAAACAGTCAAAATTCATCACTTTACTCGAGCACAGTTCACCACTTGGAAGAAATTTACAAAATATATGTTTCAAATTCAGTGGAGTAACCGTTGCTCATTGTCTCTTTGATTTGGAATCAATAAATTAGTGTTACGCTATGATATTTTTATGAATTTTCATTATATCCACGGGAATAATACGTACTAGATACACATGAATAAAGTTCATACGAGCCATTGAATATTTTTCCAACTCCTCATTGGGAAACTTTCATACTGATATTGTAATGGGCCAAAGTGTGTAATAAATATCGAGATGATAAGTATAGAATGGAGTAATATCATGTATTTTTATCTATTTAGAGACATTTAGAAGTTTTACATTGCCTCAAATTACTTGTTACTATTAATAATTTGCACTAAAGACGATGAAAATATGATATGGCGAAAGTAACAATAAGCAAATCAAGAATGTTGAAATAGTAATTAGGTTGTTAATATAGTGCAGTACGTTTTTTTCGTGAACTGCTTAGACAGCGTAATAATAAATAACCGTTACCTTGTTAAAACAATAGGAATCTGTTCTCTTGTCTACTTTCTATCCTAGTGAAATTGAACAGACTACTAAATGGATACAGCCCTGACGTTTACGACAGCTTATCTTGGTATCAGTATCAAACATTTGACTAAAACTGTTGACTATTCTTTTATTCAAATGTAGACAATGATCTGATCATATATACTAAATTTTAAAACAACTATTTGTAGTGCTTATTTTACTCATCTCTATATATTCTTGACTAGTCCGTACTATTTTTGTCTCCCACGACATTTGATCATGACCAGAATAGCCAAATTTAGAGCATGTGACCAGCGATGTTATTGACAGACGATTCCAAAGACAACCATAATGTAGTCTGACTACTCTTATGAACCAGACAGTATGTAGATCTAGAATGTAATATAATAACAGAAAATAAGAAACCTATCTATTTGATTGTTAAAACTTTCAGAAGTATACCGTCGAACTCAGTTGACGATAGGCTCTATTGATAGCAAATAATACTCGTTAAGCAGAGGTAAATACCATAAATCAGTAGCTCTGTAGATAGCACTCTATCACTTGAAAAATGGATGTTGGTTTTGGCTGATAGTTAGGAATATTTAATACTAGCACATAGTTTTGTAGTGACTCACATTTATCACGAGAACACGACTGGTTTAATGAAAACAATTATTATTATAACCAACTGTACCAGTGTTTGTTCTAATGTGCTTTTGTTTGACTGTGCTAATGAAAGCTATATTGTGCTTCCATTCTTATACACACACTTTGATTGTGACTTCGCGCGAATTCGGTTACGTTCTGTAACCAAGCTTGTATCCTGGCACGATCTCGGTATCCTTCCGATACCACGAGATTGCCAGCGAATATATCTCGATTTGGTACATTAATTTCCTTCTGATATTTGGCTTCTCGGGGATTTTATGGATTTATTTGGTTACGTTCAACCTTCGCCTCCTGATTTACTTGGAACGTGTTTCTTGGTAGCGGTGTTCATAGTCAATCACGACTCGACACCACGCTACAGTTTTATCAAACTTGGTAATTTAAACAAGGTTAAATAAATATTACGGATTCAACCTCAAAACCTAATTATAATGAAGTTTGAAAACTGCACAAGCTCTTCCATGCACTGACATTTAAAAATAATCATCATTACAGTCATATAGCTTAAAATTTGGAAATTTTTACTTTCTTTGTAATTTGAAATAAGATATTGTCGTCAATAGTTACTTGGTTTAATATTCAAAATATGGGTCGATTAAAGTTCGACATTAACACAGTTGGATGCCAGCTCTGTGATCTAGAGGTGAAGCATTCGCGCGCGAGACCGAAGGTCCCGGGTTCGAGTTCCGCATGAGGGATCGTGGATGCACACTGCTGTGGAGTCCCGTACTAGGAAGAAACAGCCATCTAGTGTTTCCAGGTCTCCAGTGCTGATTTATCTTAGAGAGACTTGTGAATCCGACTGCTAAAAGTTACAATTTTTACAAACCCCCCTACTGTTAAAATGTATCTGTTTTTTAATGCGTGTTACCACTGATGAAATCAGATTATAACTTTTATTTAAATGATTGTTTGACGTAAATTTAGTTAAGACGCAACAATCGTTGAGGAATAACCCATGATTAGCGAATAATTCCAATAAAAGTAATTAGCGTCATTTTAATTTAATAGTGAAAATCAGCAGGATTTTGTAGCATTATGCAACTACAAGATTGATTAATTTGTCTCACTATATAGTAAACTTCTCTAAAATAGTTTCGCATAGCTTCAGTCTAAAATAAATTTATTACATGTTCTTTAGGAGTAATTGAAATGCCTGCCATTGGATTCCACTTGTTTCCAAATTTAGAAATGATTTCTAAATTCTAAGCAATGTGAAACTTCTAGAAAGGTTTACTATTTATTCAGACGAATCGTGACGATTTCACACTT